CTCCCCCTCCCCCTCTCCCTCTCCCTCTCCCTCTCCCTCTCCCTCTCCCTCTCCCTCTCCCTCTCCCTCCCCCCCTTCTCCTCCCCCAAAACCCTAAGCCCCCCTGGCTTGAAGTTGTGCTCAAACCCCAGGAACCCGAAGACCTAAGACTAAGACCAATAGCTGCAGAGCCTTAAACCTATAATTAAAGCCTTCAAGCCTAAAAGTCTATTCCTAAATCCTAAAATTAAACACGGAAAACCCTAAAATTACAGTCCTAAAGCCCTGAACCAACAAAACGACTGGAACTATTGCTTTGAACCGCCTAAACCCTAAACCTAAACCCCAATAAAAACCAGGCCATGAGTTCTGCTCCTCGGCCAAAGAGTGTGGACAGCGTCTGCAAGCTTGAGAAAAACAAGGGAGCTGTTTAGGGTTTAGGGTTTAGGGCCGGCAGTCAGGCTGTCGTTATGGTTTACGGCTTGCGACGTGTATCCATCCGTAGGGTTGCTTGATCTGCAGTTACTACTCTTCAAATCTTGAATTCTAGGCACCTAGAAAGTCTACGGATTCATCCAACTTCTATGGCCTCCTAGTTTGCGGCCAGGTCCGCAGCAGATTCAGATCTGTTTGTGTTCATGTCTCATCATGCAGTCTTTACTCCTTCTGATCATGGAAGCAGCATGCAGTGGCATTCTAGGCGTCGATTTTCTTAGCTCTGAGGGTGATGGACAGTGGGAGTGTTCATCGTCACCAGGCAAAGCTGATAGCTTTGATCAGAACTGGAAATAAATACATTTTCCTATCGAAGCATCACCACGTTCAGGCCTGGAATGACTTATCTGTCTTCGCGCATATCGTAAGAAAGTGGTGCCATGGGTAATTCTATAAGGCAGTTGGAGGTGGAGACAGGACAAAAAGAACGGAGGCTTCTCCTCGTAGCAGCGCGTTCTTGCTGAAGCAGGTCTTCCATTGGAATTAGCCAGCTAAGCGGCGATTCGTCGCTGTCGTGTAGAAATATGTAGAATAGTGTCGGATGCTCTTAGACCGTCGATGTCCATAGCGCTCCCGGCTGCAAGGCTTTGGGGCTGTATGTGCGCCCTTTCGGAATTCGAAGGTGGGAAACTCGGAAGTGCCCTTCCAAGCCCCGTCGAATCAGGAATTGCCGAGATTTCGAAACGAATTCTATCGCTCTAGTTCGAAGTGGGACGCAGAATTCGAAATGCTCTTCTCGAGGTTTCTTCTGGAGTGCAGAGTGCTTATAGAGATCTTATTTATTTAAATATTGCAATCATATTTCGACGATAGACCTATATTGTGTCGCTCATCTCTCACATAGTCACCTCCACATTGGTGGGTTCAAGCCTGGAAAATAATCGATTCCTGTTTCGATTTATGGGCATTCTTTCTCCTGGTGACTGATTTCACGATCACATCTAATGAAAATTGAAAAGATTATTCTTATTGAATTTGTCCGATACTCTACGGAATTTGATTGGTCTTAATCTTATCTTGATTAGACACTTGAATATCGATCCCGAACACTGATTCGAGTGTGATTATGAATTTATTACTAGGACAAATCGAAAATTGGAAATAAATTGGAGAAGAAATGTTATTCTATGTCGTATATTTGGCGTTTCACGGTGCGTGGAAGATTTCTTAAGTGCTCGGGGGGGTGGGAGGGGTGCTGTGATTCAAATTGATACGAATTCTTAATAATTTGATACCGATAATTCTTAAAGAAAGAAATTAATATGTTTATATGTTCAAGGACTTGTTAGAATAATATAATATATGAATTTGATTAATTAAAGATTATATATATCGAAAAAGAATCAAAACGAAAAAGAATCAAAAAGAGTTATATAGTACAACTTATATTGTGACGGAGATGGTAATTCCGCTTACAAAAATATTTTTGAAATATTATATAAGAATGAAGAATTTTTTATAAAAGAAATTATGGAATTTGGGGATTTTATAATCTAGAATATTTTTAATGGTTTCTTATATTTCGAATGGATTCGAATAGATGATAGGGAATTGATAGATTAATTGATTGCTCGTTATATCTTAGAAATAGATTGTAAATATTATAATTCGATATATCGTTTTTTTAATAATTTGAATTTATTAGTTGAATATATTATTATTTTCTTTTTCTATAATAAAATTAAATATAAATTCTCGTCTGATATGAGCTCGTTATATAAGAAGGCAGGGAGAGAATAAGAAAATAATATTCGATTAATATTTAAAAAATTAGGATTATTTTTTCTCTATCTTCATTTAAATTCAAGAAGCATATTTTTTATTATAAATAATATTAGTATAGCTTCTGGTTTGCTAAAAAAAACTCTCTTATCGATTTATTAGAAAAGACTTTCTATATAGTTCGATTTATATTATTTAATAAATTTAAGCTCTTATATAAATATTCATCTTTAAAGATATTGATATTTATAGAATTTCTGCTCATGAAAGATTTCTAAAGATTTCTAAATGAGAATTATATAAAGATGATAATCATATAAAGGCATAATAGAGGTTGATCCGTAAATCATATGGGCGATTATCAAAATTATGATTTCTTTTTGAGATTTCTGAAAAAATAAGTGCCGTATTATAATAA